TGAAAGATAGGTGTGGTCATTGCTACTGCGGTATCACTGCTCCTAGGTCCTCTCAGCAGACAGGTTTTATATTCTCTCGTATACGTACGTTTGTATACATATATACATATATATGTATGTATATATACATACACACATATACATACATATGTATGTATATATACATACACACATATACATATATATGTATTTTTTTCCCCATATATGTCTATATTTCTCTATTTAAAAAACCATGAGTTCATACTTATACCGCGGATTATAATCCAAAACTACAGGGTTTATTTGAGTTTTCCTGCTTTCCTTATTGGTAACTTCTTCCTCCAACAGTGAAACACTGTTGGCTCCCATTATCTACAATACATTTACTTATTTGTTCAGTTCTGATTTAGCCTTACAGTATTTAGCCAAGATACTATTTCCCAAAGGTTAGTTCTTTTCTTCCCCATCTCCTTCAGCATGTGTAAGTTATTCATTTGTAATACAGTTAGGTACATTTGTTAGTGTTTGTATTCACTCTCTTCTATTTTTACGCTATTTATTCTCAGGTGTTTTCACCCACTGCAATAGCTTCACTATCATCTTTTCTAAGCTACATACTCACATATACACTCAACTACTCTACTGGGCATCCCTACACAGGTATCCTCAGACTTCTCAAGCTAAAACTCATTCTCTCTCAAGACTCTTCTCATAAATTTGCAATACAGTAAAGTAGATCAGAACACTGACTCTGCAGCCAACTGACTGGGTTTGAATATAGCTCCAAGACTCACCATCTGTGTGAGCTCGGTTAGATAAGTTACTCAACCTCTCTATGCTGTCCCCATCTATAAATAGAAATAAAAAGGTTTGTTGTAAGGGTTAAAGAAGATCGTATTTGTAAAACATATACAACAGTAACTAGCACAGAAAACAACAACAACAAAAAAACCAAACCTGTTGCCATCGAGTCAATTCCAACTCATAGCAACCCTATAGGACAGAGAAGAACGGCCCCATAGGGTTTCCAAGGAGTGCATGGTGGATTCGAACTGCTGACCTTTTGGTTAGCAGCCACAGCGCTTAACGACTATGCCACCACAGTTTCCAAGCTAGCACACAGTAAGTAGTATTTATACATGTTAGATATTATTCTTACTCACCTAACACATTCCCTATCTCAGTGAACAGCACCATCAAGTCTGAAACCTGAATGCCATCTTGACCTCTTTCTTCCTTAGCCCCACAATCCAATCAAATGTCAAGTCCTGGTATATCTACTCACTTAAATACTGTAGTAAACTGAATAATGGCCACTCAAAGATATCAGGTAATCTCTGGAACCTATAAATGTTACCTTATAAGGAAAAGGGTCTTTGCAGTTGTGGTTAAGTTAAAGATCTTGACGTGGGGAAATTATTTTGGATTATCCAGGTGGGCCCTAAATCCAATTGCATGTGTCTTTGTTATAGACAGGCAGAGAGAGATCAGACACATACAGAAGAGAAGGCATGTGAAGGAGGCAGGGACTGGAGTGATACAGCTACAAACCAAGGAATATTGACAGCCACCAGAAGCTGAAAGTGCAAGGAACAGATTCTTCCCAGGAGCCTCCAGAGGGAGTGTGGTCATGCTGACACCTTGATTTCTGACTTCCGGCCTCCAGAACTATGAGAAAATAAATTTGTTGTTTTAAACTACCAAGTTTGTGGTTATAGTAGCAATAGGAAACTAATACAAATACTTAGTCATGCTTCTGGTGTCCATCCATCACTTTCACTACCTTGGTTCAGGCCACGTTCATCTCTCACCTTGACTACTGCCACATCCATCAAGAGGCCTCCTTGATTTTTATCCAATATTTTCTTCATACTGCATCCAGAGTGCTCTTTTCCCATACTCCCTCCCCACCCTGGAAACACCTTCATTTTACGTTCTGACAAATATTAAAACAAAAAATTTAATAAATACAAAAAAAGATAAAGACAATCACCTATAATATGCGGAGATAACCACAATTACCTTTCTTGGGATATATCCGTTCAGACTTTTTTTATGCATACACATACACATTATCATATGGCATATGCCATTACTATATTAATATTCTTTTTTGACACCTATTTTTAACTTGATAATATTGTTGATATCACTTCATGACAGAAAACAAAAATCTAAATGTTCATTTTTATAAGGTATTCCATTGCATGCAATACCCAAAATTTATTTAACAAGTCCATTATTAACAGACATTTAAATTATTTCTTTTTTTTTTTTTTGCTGTTCTAGACAACAGCAAACATTGTTATACATACATGTTTGTCTGACTATTTCCTTAGGTTTAATTCCTGGAAGTGGAATTGCTGGGTCAAACGGAAGGCCAAATGCCCTCCAGGAAGGTTGTATCAATTCACGTATTTATCAACAATATATGAGAATGACCATTAACCAATGTCAGGCATTATTCTTTTTAAATGTTTACGGATCTTAAAGATGAAAAAAGTATTTAATTGCTGCTTTAATATGCATTTCATAAATTATATGTAAGAAGGATAAACATCTTTCACGTTTTTAGCTTTTTTTTTTTGAAACTGCCTTTTCATGTCACCTGTCCATTTTTCTACTGTATTGTCTTTTTCTTATTGATTTATAGGAATTCTTCATATCTAGGACAATAACCAGCAACTCCCTTGCACAGCGTAAATACACAAATATATTCCCCATTTCGTCATTTTTCTTTATTTCTGCTATTTTTTTAAAGAGCTAATTTAAAATTTTTCTGCATTGTAAATTAGTTTTTTCTTTATAGTTCCTAAGTGTGCGTGTGTGTGTGTGTGTGTGTGTGTGTGTATGTGTGAGAGAGAGAGAGAAAGGGAAAGAGTTTTGGTCTTTTTTTTCTTTACACAAATTACACTATACACATCTTTACACAAGTTATACACAAACACGAGTATACAGAATACGAGACTAAAATTTGAGTTCCCTTCAATTCCTCTTCCACTCTCACTTCCCTCCTTGGAGGCAGCTGTCAACTGACTGGTGTGTATCTGTTCAGTCCCTTTAATGTGCATTTATGGGCGTATATAATAAATAACATATATATTTTAACATAATAGGACCACAGCATATTATATATATTCTTCTGCAACATCTTTTATTCACTAAATGTCTTAGAGATTTTTCCCGTCTGTAAATACAGGTCTATCTTATTCAACTAAATAGCAGCAAAGTAATCCACTGTATTACCATAATATATTTACATATCACCGGCACAATGGGTAAGCACTTCTCTACTAACCATTAGCTGCTCCGTGGGAGAAAAGACCTGGCAATGGGCTCCCCTAAAGATTTCAGCCTAGGAAACTCTATGGGGCAGTGCTACCCTGTCATATGGGGTAGCTATGAGTTGATATCAACTGGACGGACGGCACACAACAATGCAATGGACATTTAAGCTGTATTCATTTCTCACAATTACAAACAATGTTGCAATAAACATCCTTGTACATACATCTTTGGGCATGGTACAATATCTCTGCAACACTTTATATCATGAATATTTTGCCAATCTAATGGGTGGAAAGTTGTCTTAATTTGCCTCAATATCGTTAATTATGAAGCTGAGCATATTTTCTGTACATTGGTCACTTGTATTTCTTCTATAAACTGCCAGTTCATATCTTTTGCCTACTTTTCCATTTTGTTGTTATTATTAACAGAAGCTCTTTATATATCATGGACATTAATCCTTTACCTCTTACACACGTTGCAAATATTTTCTTCAAGTCTCTCACTTATATTTAGTTTTATGTTCTTTTCAAGTACATACATTTTACATTTTGATATAATCAAACGTACCAATTTTTTCCAGAGAGATTTGTGTCCTATTTGAGTGGTTTGATAAGGCTAAAGCATTAAGTGCAAGACCTTGAGGGCACTGCTAATGAACTAAAACATTACCCTAAGGGTGTTAGGGAGCCATGTAAAAGTTTTCAGCAATAGAGTGACTTTCAACTCATCATTTACTATCTACTGATCACCTACTAAGTGCCATGATCAAATCTGACTTTTAGAAAGATTGTTTTTGCACTTTTCTATATCTTTTAAATTTAAAGTAAGTTAAAAGATACAGATCATTGCATCAAAGGATATTATTAAGGAGGATTTGCTCTGCAACATATTAAAACATCCTTTAAATGAAAATAAAATGGTACCGTAAGTGCAGAAATAGTCAGAGCAGTGGGGAAAAAAATGTCTGGAGACAAATCACAGTATATATACAAGTCTGCAAAATGTAATAAAAGTGTCCTTTCAATTCAGTGGAAAAAAGATTCAATCGATGATGGCAGGACAACTGGGGAAAACAGTATATTCTTCAATTTACCTTACCACAAAATACTGAATAAAACACAAAAAATGTAAAAACGAAAGTTTCAAGTATAAATAAAAGCCTCTTAAAAGTATTAGGAAAAAATAAACGTAAATTTTTTTATAATCTTGAGATGGGGAAAAACTTTCCAAAAAGTGACATCATCCACACCGTACACAAAAATAATTTCCAATTTTTTTGTTTCCATGATTTTTTTTTATTGTGGTAAACATATATATAACAAAACATTTGCCATTTCAACATTCGTCACATGTACAGTTCAGTGACATTATGTTCATCATGTTATTCAACCATCACCCTTATCCATTCCCCAAATTTTCCATCACCCATAGGTTTTTTTAAAGCTGCAGAATCATTAGAAGAAACTAGAGGGAAATGTTTACAACATTGAAATGGTTAAGGCCTTCCCATGCAAGACACAAAATGCAGACGGGACACAGGCTGAGGAGCCAGAAAAGTCTCTGAGAAGGCTGAGAGCCGCCGCTGCGGGGCTTCGGACCGAGCGCAGGAACGTTCCCGCCGCGGGCCACCCCCGGGCCGCCCACCCTACGCCCGCCTGGCCCGGGGCGAAGCCTCTGGCTGGCATACCCTCCCCTGCGCCCTGCGCCTCCGCTCGGCGCTCCGCACTCACCAGCCTCCTCAGACAAAGGGCGCTCGGGCGGCTCCGCCCCCTGATGCAGCCGTCGCCGCCTGTCCGGACCGTAGCTTGAGATGGGTGACCAGGGACCTGAGGCCCGAGCCAATGACGGCCCCTGGGGCTGGACCAACCACCGGCGCCAAGCCGGCTCTGACGAAACCTTCGCGTGATGGCGACCGCGCCGTGTTGTCTTCGGACCCCGGATACGCATGCGCCAGGGGGGCGCCTGGGACTGCTGCCACCCGCATCGTCCGGTCTGTAACTCCCACCGTTCGCCTGGGCTGGCTCTTTACAAGGGCCGCCCTAACCCGGGGGGGCCCGGCCTCCAGCACTAGCCCTCACAGAATTACCTGTTCGGTGTGGGCCGCGGAGGGCCGCCTGCGGACCCATCCCTTAACCCCTGCCAATCACAAACGTTGGACTTCAGGTTCCCACGCCGGTGTAGCTGCTCTGTCTCCAAGGCGACGGCACAAGCCATCGCTCTCCTTAGTCCTGCTCTCCTCCCTTCCCCTAGATTTATATCGACAAAATTTAAAATACAGTAGTAATCATAACAATAATAATTGAGCACAATATTTTTTAAAATACAGGTCTACTGTTAGGAAGAATGGAATTCTTTTTGTGGGGATAACATTTTGCTAAATTGGAATTCAAAATTAGCGTTCCCTATCATCAAAATTGGTTGCAAAGTTCATCTGTTAATAATATCTGTAATGAGATTTTCCATATTTCATCTCTGAAAACATCTTTTCAAACAGATTGTTGTTGTTAGTTGCAGTGGTGTAGGCTCTGACTCATGGCGAATTTATGTACAACAGCACTAAATGTTGCCCTTCCTAGCCCACCTTCAAGACTGTTGGTATGCTCGGGTCCGTTGTTGCAGCCACGATTCATTTTAAGTGCCTTCCAACGTAGGGGGCTTATCTTTCAGCACTTCTCAGACAACTGGTGGCAGAGATTCCAGCATCAAAGCAATACGAAAGCCACCACAGTAGGAGAAACTGACAGGCAGGTGAAGAGACAAAATGCTTTCCCAGAAAGGAAGGTGGATGAGAGAGAGGAGTGTTCTGAAGCTGGATGTATCCTTGCGGTGTGTCAATGGTCTGGTTCCTGCTTGTCCAGCCTCACCTCCAACCACCCCCATGCTCATACCCATGCCACCTCCATTAAACTTGAAAATAGGCAGCTATGTGAGTTCCAAAAGTATGCATGTGTAGTTTACTTCATCTGAATTTTTTGTCTTTTCTGCCTCATCACACCCAGTCTCCTGATAAAGTTTGTTTTCTCCAGGAAGCCTTCCTTTGACCACCGCCCCACCACCACCAAAGGGACGATGAAGCTCTCCTCCTTTGCTTCCATTACATCTCCTCTATCAAACAGTCATCACAGTGCGTTGCCAGTTTGACTGCATTGGTCTCCTCGGCTGAGTTAGAGCCCCTCCAGGACCCGGCCTCTGGTTTCCTATTTCTCCAGGAACGTGCTTAGTTCCAGCACACTCTGGAGTGTTTGCTGAATGTTTGATGAATCCAAGGGAGCCACCACTGGAAGGCAACAGATGATAAATACTCAGGGCAGATGCAACCGGGAAGGCCTTCGGGCATTCTAATTTCCCAGACCACCAGAGCTGGGTAAGGCTCCTCCCAGTGCCTTCAGGGCTTCTGTGCTGCGCCCCCCTGTCATGGCACTTTTGTGTATCATGGTGTGTTTGTATGTCAGAGGGTGGGCCCTGTTTACCTGGCACAATTTCTAACAAATGTTAAGTCTTCAATTCATGTTTGCAAGAATGAATGAACAACTGACTGAATAATCACCAAGGTCGGAGCCCGGCTGGGAGTGTCCCCAAGGATGTCTGCGGGGTCGTGGTTCCCGAGCACTCGCCTGAGAGGGTGCGAGGTGGCTGCGGGGGGTGGGTTAACCCGCAGCCACGAGAGCCAGGGCCCCGTAGTGGGGGATTTCCTCGAGGCGGCTGTCCCAACTAGGGCTGAGGCCTTGGGCTGGGCAGGCCTTGCCCGGAACTACGGCGACCGGAAGGGCTGGGCACACGGAGACCCTGCCGCGGCGCCCTTTCGCCGCTTCCTGCGGACCCGGAAGCGTTTACGCCGCCGCGCTCGCTGCGGCCCTGGGTTGCCCACGCGCGCCCAGCTAAGGGGCGGGCTGGCGCCGGGGGCCGTGTCGGGCGGGTGAGCTCGCTAGCCTGCGCCGTCCTTGACGTGCGGCTTCCTGCCCTGCGAGTATTCGAGAATCCAGGAGGCTCCCCAGCGTGTGCGGGAACCCCCGTTGAGGGCCGGGGAGGGCCTTAAGGCTTCGCGGTCTCCCTGGGGCCCTGCTGAGAGGTGCCCTCATGAGCGCTGAGAGTGCTGCGGAGCCTGCCCCCTGCGTTTGATGCTTGGGTCTGAATCCCTCTCTGTGTAGGAGGCTCAGAGGACTGCGGGAGGCCCTGCACCGAGGGTCCGAGACCACGGGAGGTCACAGTTAGGCGGCGGATTCAGACAAGAGGATTGGAGTTCTTTTGTTAACAGCACTTTAGTCTCAATTTTTGTCCATTGGCATTAAACACACCAGCCTTCCCAGCTCAGTCACTCACGTGCCACCTAATAAACATCTCCATGACCTCACTTCTTGTGTTGGGTCCTTTAAAATGCATTTTAAGTTGAACTTTAATTTTGGTTAGGGGCTTTAATGTCTGACTCTCAGAAGGAATTGCAGAGTTGGCAATTTTTCTCTTGAACAATTTCATAATGTTCTTGTGGCCCTGTTTCGTAAATCTGATTCCTTAAGTTTGCATTTAAATGGAATACTATTCTTGAACTTGTCGGTGTTGCTTTCCTTTTTTAATAGAATAACGTCATCAGTGTTTTCCAGGGCTGGTTGAAACAAAGTTATTTCAGGCTTCAAAAAGGCTCAGAAGAAAGTTAAAGGCTTAATGGAAATCAGGCCTTATTTAGAGGGTTGGAGGCTCTTTGAAATCAAACATATAAATAGGTTTCACATTCTAAAAACGTTGGGCATTCCCGCTGTGCAATAACAAGCTTCTTTCTTACACCTCCAGACCTTCCTGAGGAGGTCAGGAGGCCTCTGCTGGGATCCGGGAAGGGCCTCCTCAGTGCCTAAGCAGCCCAAGCCCTGCCTGATGTGAGGTGATCCTTGGAGCCTGGACAATGACTGCAGCTCAAAGAAGTGCTTCTGCCCTGGTCTCTGGGGCTGGGCAGGGCGCAGAGGTGGGAGCAACTGGTTTTGGGGACGAGGCATGCTGTTTGCAGGACAGCAGCCTTCTTGGCCCAGAGATCTTCCGCCAGCGCTTTCGACAGTTCTGTTATGAGGAGACCCAGGGGCCACGGGAGGCCCTGAATCAGCTGAGAGACCTTTGTCACCAGTGGCTGCAGCCTGAGATCCACACCAAGGTGCAGATTCTGGAGCTGCTGGTGCTGGAGCAGTTCCTGGGCATCCTGCCTGAGGAGCTGCGGGCTTGGGTTCGAGAGCAGCGGCCCAAGAGTGGGGAGGAGGCTGTGACTGTGCTGGAGGATCTGGAGAGGGAGCTGGATGACCCGGGACAGCAGGTAGGAGGAAAGGTGGGTGTGGGTGCTGCCTTGGATGGTAGCAGGGAGGCAGGTCCTACATCCAAACTGCAAGGAGGGCTGGGAACCATGTTTCCACTGGACTTGGCTGACATTAGAACTCCCTGTGGCCATTTCTTCTTTCTTTTGCCTTACTCCCTTTTGTCCTTTAGTTACTGCTCTTTTACAGAATGTTGTTACTGAGTCACGGTGGAAACCCCAGGTTCTTGCTCGGCATGACTCACATTGGCCAATAAACGAGAGACCAAGGTGAGAGAGCAGGAAAGGCACCTTTAGTTCCTTGCACAAGGAAAAGGAGTCAGTCAGAGCTGCGGGCACCAAGAGCCAAGACTGCTCTTCGAGAGCGAGAAAAGTTACTTTTAAGGGGTTTGCAAATAGGGAGTTCATACAAGTTATGTCAGCAACATTCTTAATCATACTACAAGGTAGCAATGGAGTTTCCATATAACTTCCCAGCAAAGAAAGCAGGATTTTAATGCAAATTGTGGGGGAGGAACCGTAGGAAAGGAAAACAGGATTTTTAATGCAACGCTGTTTGAGGCTGTCTCAATATGTTCCTGAAAACATATTACAAAGGGTCTCCATTCCCAGAAAGCAAAAATACCTAGTTATGATAATTAATTGATCATTCAGTCATAATTATTAATTTTTCATTGGCCCCTCCTTTTTGTCGGCCAATGAAAACAAGGGAAACCCTCGATGAGATGGATTGCAACAGTGGATTGCAATAGCTGCAACAGTGGATTTAGACATACCAACGATCATGAAGATAGTGCAGGACCAGCAATGTTTTGTTCTGTTGTACAGAGAGATCTCCGTGAGTCAGAGTCGATTTGACGGCAGCTAACAACCACAGTGATTAATTATGATTAATACTTACTTACTGAAATATTTTCAATACCTAATTATGCTATAAAGATGTTTTCTTTTTAGTCCTTAGTTCTTTGTATTCTATATTGGAGCCCTGGTGGCACAGTGGTTAAGAGCTCGGCTGCTAACTAAAAGGTTGGCAGTTCAAATCCACTGACTGCTCCTGGGAAACTCTATGGGGCAGTTCTACTTTGTCCTGTAGGGACACTGTGAATTGACCACAACGAGTTTGGTTTTGTTTTTTAAATATATGATTATTAAAAACATCAAAACCAATCAAGCATTAAATGTAAACAAAATTAATAATGTTCCAAAGAGATTTATTACCTCAAATTCTAGTTCTCATCTTACTTCAACTTACATTTAGTGGATAAATTTATTTTAGTGTTGAGAAGGACATGCTGATGGTAATTTTTAGGGGATTGGTTTTGCAGTTAATTGGGTAGAATATGATGTTGACTTATGGGTTCTTGTCAGTTTTATTAAGGGCATTGTAAGGAGGAAGTTGAATGAATCCTTATTTTCCTCTTAATAATCAGCCTTATGGACCTATGTGTTAAAATCAGTGGGATATATTTTATGCTGTTTCTTGAGATATCATTTTGAAGATCTCCCCATTTCCTCCTTTACTAAACCTTGCCTTCTAGATGTACACTTTGAATGTTCCAGTGTTTTGTGTATATTCTTTAATTTTCCTCTAATGTTTAATTTAAACATAGAATCAGTCAAAGTCCAGGAAGTAGCTGAATAAGAACAAGTATTCTCTAGTTTCATTCTTCATACGATTTTCTTTCTTTTTTTAAAATCTTTATTATCACTATCAGTATTTTTGTTTTTCCATTTTTACTCATTTTGTAAAGTAAAAAAAGAAAATCAAAATGTAATAAAATATTCAAATTATAGTGCAAACACTGCATTCTGCTTTCTAGAATGTCAGCTCCACAAGGGCAGGAATTGTTTGTTTTGGTCACTGCTTTATCCCCAGAGCCTAAAATAATACATCACTTTAGAAAGTATTTGTTAAATGAGTGAATGAATGAAGCAGTGTTGTTAGGGCAGCTGTTAATTGCTAATACTGTATTGTTGACCTGCAGGTGGCACCACCTGCAACAATTGAAAATAGTTATTTTTCAGCATATGTATTAGAGTCCAAACTTGATGTAGAAAGGCAGATTGAGATGTACTGAAGTGTGGACTGCATGGAAATTAAATTGTGAATATGAGGATTGCCTGTATGAACTTGATAGCTGTTTGCTGCGACCTTTCTTTAAAATTTTAGCTCCCTTCCAAGAGGGGCTTTTTTATAACTTCACCTAATTGTCTCCAGGTCAAAGCCTTTGTAGCCACAAAAGAAGAGATCCTGGAGGAGGTGGCCCTTCTGGCAGCTGCACAAGAGTCCACTACTGTCTGGTTCACTGCCATGGATGGTCAGCTCCGGGATGAATTACCAGCACCCCCTGTCCAGCAAGAAGGAGGTGAATGAAATTCCTCTGGGCTGGTAAAGGCAGATTCTCTTTGCTAGCATCATGATATCCTCTCTTGTGGGTATCATGTCCTTCCTCTTCTGATTGCTCTTGGAGAAACCACCATCTACCTAATTTTCCAGAGAAAGGCTTTTAACGTTATGACTTGTTCACTGTCCCCATATGCAGATTATCATGTGCTTCTTAGACCTCGCTTGATCACCCATTTCCTCTGTTTAGGTGGCTCCAGGATTATCTACCTTCCTTTACGCCCTTTCTTAGAAGCTGAATAACATGCAGAAATTATCCTGCTGAGCCATAACTCTTAAACTCTTCAGACTGCTTCGCCAGCTCAATCACTTCTCCAGTGAGATTTTCTTTTCCCCTCTTTAGAATTAGTTTTCTTCCTCTTTTCCCGTCTTAACACCCTTATTTCCGTACATCTTTATTTTTCCTTCCTTCTATTCAGTAGTTTCTGTATGTCAGATTTACTTGAAACTTCCCTTAAAACCATCTTATTTTCCTAATTGAGGATCCTTTCTAGAAGCTTGGTTGTCCAGAAAGCCCATTCTAGGTAAAAGAACAACCCTTCATAAATAGGTTCTTTCCCAGAAGCCCACATATACTTTAAAAGTGCATATGTCTTTATGTTTGGTGGAATTAATGAGAATCTTGTTATCTTAAGGGTTGTAGAATAATTTCCAGACACTTTAAGAAATGATTTTTAGAAAATTTTTTTGTTTTTACATTAAATTAAATTTTCATATTATATTTATGTATATTTGTATTAAATCTTAATTTAAAAGTAAATAAATATGTACTACACATCACTTTTTGGAAACCCTGGTGGTGTAGTGCATAAGAGCTATGGCGGCTAACCAAAAGGTGGCAGTTTGAATCCACCAGGTGCTCCTTGGAAGCCCTATGGGGCAGTTCTACTCTGTCCTTTAGGGTTGCTGTGAGTCGGAACCAACTCGTCAGCAATGGGTTTTTTTGGTTTATACATCACTTTTGGGTGTATTGGTGGTTCAGTGGTAGAATTCTTGCGTTTCATGTTGCGAGACCTGGATTTGTTTCCCTGCCAGACAAAGACAGACTAGGAAGAAAGGCCTGATGATCTACTTCTGAAAAAAATCAGCCAATGAAAACCCTATGGATCATAATAGTCCAAGCTGCAACCAATCATTGGGGTGGTGAAAGACCAGGCAGCGTTTCATTCCATTTTGCATGGGGTTGCCAGGAGTCAGAGGCATGTCCAGAGTATGTAAGATGAAGTGTCTCCTTCTTCCCTTCCAAGGAGCATTCTAGCTGTACTTCTTACAAGACAGATTTGTTCATTCTTCTGGCAGTCCATGGTCTATTTCATATTCTTTGCCAACACAATTCAAAGGCTTCAGTTCTTTTGTCTTCCTTATTTATCGTCCAGCTTTTACATGCATATGAGGCAATTGAAAATACCATGGCTCGGATCAGGCACACCTTAGTCCTCAAGGTGACATCTTTGCTTTTTAATACTTTAAAGAGGTCTTTTGTAGCAGATTTTCCCAATGCAGTGTATCGTTTGATTTCTTGACTGCTGCTCCCATGGGTGTTGATTGTGGATCCAAGTAAAGTGAAATCCTTGACAACTGCAATCTTTTCTCCATTTATCATGATGTTGCTTATTGGTCCAGTTGTGAGGATTTTTGTTTTCTTTATGTTGACGTGTAATCCATACTGAAGGCTGTAGTCTTTGATCTTCATCAGTAAGTGCTTCAAGTCCTCCTCACTTTCAGCAAGCAAAGTTGTGTCATTTGCATATCGCAGGTCATTAGTGAATCTTCCTCCAATCATGATGTCACATTCTTCTTCATAAATCCAGCTTCTCGGATTATTTGCTCAGCATACAGATTGAATAAGTATGGTGAAAGGATACACCCCTGACGCATGCCGTTCCAGATTTTAAGCCACACAGTGTCCCCTTGTTCTGTTAGGAAGACTGCCTCTTGGTCTATGTACAGGTTCCACATGAACACAGTTAAGTATTCTGGAATTCCCATTCTTTGCAACATTATCCACAGTTTGTTATGATCCACACAGTTGAATGCATTTGCATAGTCAATAAAACACAGGTAAACATCTTTCTGGTATTGTCTGCTTTCAGCCAAGGTCCATCTGACAACAGCAGTGATATCCATTGTTCTGTGTGCTCTTCTGAATCCAGCTTGAATTTCTAGCAGTGCTCTGTCAATGTACTGCTGTAACCGGTTTTGTATTCTCTTCAGCATAATTTTACTTGTGAATGATATTGTTTAATAATTTCCGCATTCTGCTGGATCACCTTTCTTTGGAATGGGCACAAATATAGATCTCTTGCAGTCAACTGGCCATGTAGCTGTCTTCCACATTTCTTGGCATAGACAAGTGAGCACTTCCAGTGTTGCATATGTTTGTGGAAACATCTCAGTTGGTATTCCATCAATTCCTGGAGTCTTGTTTTTCGCGAGTGCCTTCAGTACAGCCTGGACTTCTTGGACTTCTTCCTTCAGTACCATTGGTTCTTGATCATTTCAGTCATTTCCTGAAATGATTGAATATCAACCAATTCTTTTGGGCACGTTAACTCCTTCCATCTTCTTTTTTTTTTTTTTTAATTTTATTGTACTTTAGGTGAAAGTTTACAGCTCTAGTTTCTCATTCAAAAATTTATACACATATTGTTTTGTGACATCGGTTGCAATCCTTACAATGTGATAGCACTCTCCCCTTTTCCATCCCGGGTTCCCTGGGTCCATTCGTCCAGTTCCTGTCCCTTCCTGCCTTTTTGTCTTGCTTTTGAGCAGGAGTTGCCCATTTGGTCTCATATATTTGCTTGAACTAAGAAGCATGTTCCTCACGTGTGTTATCGTTTGTTTTATAGGCCTGTCTAATCCTTGTCTGAAAAGTGGGCTTTAAGAGTGGTATCAGTTCTGAGTTAGAAGGGTGTTCTGGGTCCATCTTCTTTTGCTGCTTCCTGCGTTGTTCAATATTTTACCCATAAAATCCTTCAGTATTGCAACTCGAGGCTTGAATTTTTCTCTTCAGTTCTTTCAGCTTGAGAAATGCTGAGCGTGTTCTTCCCTTATGGTTTTCTAAATCTAGGTTCTTTGCACATTTCACTATAATACTTTGCCTTCTCAAGCTGCCCTTTGAAATCTTCTGTTCAGCTCTTTTACTTCATCATTTTTTTCATTCACTTTAGCTACTTTACATCCAAGAGCAAGTTTCAGAGTCTTTTCTGACATCCATTTTGTTCTTTTCTTCCTTTTCAGTGACGTTTTGCTTTTTTCACATATGATGTCCTTGATGTCATCCCACAACTTGTCTGGTCTTTTGTCATTAGTGTTCAGTGCATCAAATCTATTCTCGAGTTGGTCTCTAAATTCTGGTGGGGTATACTCAAGGTCATACTTTGGCTCTCGTGGACTCATTTTAATTTTCTTTAGCTTCCACTTGAACTTGCATATGAGCAATTGATAGTCTGTTCCACAGTTGGCCCTTGGCCTTGTTCTGACTTATGATATTAAGCTTCTCCATCATCTCTTTCCACAGATGTAGTCAATTTGATTCCTGTGTATTCTGTCTGGCAAAATCCACATGTATAGCTGCTGTTTATGTTGTTGAAAAAAGGCATTTCCAATGAGTAGATGTTTGATCTTGCAAAGTTCTGTCATGCAATCTCCAATGTCGTTTCTATCACCAAGGCAATATTTTCTAACTACTGATCCTTCTCTGTTTCCAACTTTTGCATTCCAAACACCAGTAATTATCAATGCATCTCGATTGCATGTTTGATCAGTTTCAGACTGCAGAAGTTGGTAAAAATCTTTGGCATTAGTGATTAGTGCATAAATTTGAGTAATAGTCGTATTAACTCCTTGTAGACATATGGATATTATCCTATCATCGACAGTGTGGTACTTCAGAATAGATCTTGAAATGTTCTTTTTTGACAATGAATGTGACTCTGTTCCTCTTCAATTTATCATTCCCGGCATAGTATACCATATGATTGTCCGATTCAAAATGGCTAATACCAGTCCATTTCAGCTAACTAATGCCTAGGATATATATAATTTTTGACAACTTCCAATTTTCCTAGATTCATCTTTCGTACATTCCACGTTCCAATTAGTAATGGATGTTTGCAGCTATTTCTTCTTATTTGAGTCATGCCACTTCAGGAAATGAAGGTCCCGAAAGCTTGACTCCATCCATTAATGTCGACTCTTTATTGAGAAGGCAGCTCTTCCCCAGTCGTATTTGAGTGCCTTCCAACCTGAGGGGCTCATCTTCCGGCACTATATCAGACAATGTTCTGCTGCTATTCATAATGTTTCCACTGGTGCCTGTTGTACTCTCTTTGATTAAGCAAAAGATCTCTTTTACTGCTCTATCTCCCATTGGCCCTGCGTTTTTCACCTACAGCCTGCCTTGCCTTACTCCTACTATTGCCCTCCTGGCCCCTCCCTTACCCTGGCCTCCCTGGCCTCTTCCTCTTCCCAGGACATACGTAATCTCACTCATGTTTCTGCCCATTTCTCAACCCCTTCTTTGTTCATAAAGAGTCACAGAACCGCAAGAGCTCTAGAGAAATTACTTGGTTTTAGCTCCTGTCTGTTGGACAGGTTGGTGTCACACTCTGTGTGGCAGTTGTCTGTCTCTTCAGCTCTTAAAGATCCCAGTGTTGGAGGCCAACATCCGGGATGCTGTGTCTCCTTTTGTGTTAAAAATTCCTGCCCATGGCTAATCAGAATCATTACTGCTCCTTTTTTAGGTTAATGTGACTTGAAAAATGGCAGAGTATCACCTTCTACATAAAAAGCCCTTCAGTATTTACTGCCTCCATCATTAGTTAACTCTTTCTGATAATTGGAGTGAATGTATTTTTTAAATCTTTCTGCTTAGTATTTTGACTTTAATTATTTTTTGTTTGCCCCATCTTTCCAATTTAATCTTCCTAATTTTGGGCTTTCTTAAATATATTTGTATTCTATACACA